ATTGTAAGGCAAACATACATAACATTTCTTCATCTCTGAGAATGCCTTCCCAACGAAGCCTCTCGAGTCACTCAGTGTTCCTTATTCCTTAGGGTACCTCTGCAAACAACTTATCCAAAGCAAAAGTATTTCATATCATGAAGGTTGAAAGCAAGAGTATCTCATATCATGCTTTCTCCCTGTCCTTCTCCTTGTCGTTGTTTTCATCTGCAGGACAAGGAGAAAGAGAGCAATCAGCCAGCACTTGGTATTAATCTTCTGATCTGGAACCGACTGCTTGGAACCCCTTCCTGATTGCTTACCTTGCCTTGCTCTCGAGTACTCATCTTCAACATCTTATGTTTCATCTTCGTCTACCACATCTGCTTGGGGAACAGATAAAGGAAGTGAAAATGATACCTTGAAGCATATGGAGACAATGTGCTAATTCATCCTCAGCTAGGGACAAGGAGAAAGAAAGCAAATGGTGGGCACTTGGAAAGATTGAAGAAAGGAGCAGACCATCACCTCTACCTCGTGTCTGCCTGCCGTACAGAAGAAACAAGCAGAAAAGAATGCAGACTGCACAATCAAATCAACCCAACAGAATGAGTTTGATTTGAAACCAAGGAACTCTCGCTCAGAATTCTGAACCAGTTCGAGATCAAAGCTGTGGAAAGACAACAAGATCATCTATCTCTAAAACCAGATTTGCGTTCTTAAACTCTACTCTGTCTGGTTTTTACTTTTCCATACTTGTCATGTTTATTCGTTGTTTGTTTGATTGTTTGCTTATGTTTGTGTGAGTTTATGCTTGAAACATTGAGGACAATGTTCGATTTAAGTGTGGGGGGGGTAACCAAGTTGTTTTGCATGAAATTCATGGGAGTGTATCACCCATTACTTCTAGTGTTGTTCCTTGCTGTTTTTATGCTATTTTGGAGTGTTAGTGTGTTTTGACATAAAAATTCGAAAATCTCATAAAAATTTGAAAAATTGTTTTGAAAAACCCAAAAAGAGTTGTTTTTGTGTGTTTGTTTGTGTCTTAGGGTACCTTTAACACAATGATGAGGATTTGGTTTTTAATTACATGACTGTTAAAGAGAGTTATAAACATGGATGAAAATTTGATTTACTCTTTGGTGTATGCTTGGTTGTGGTTATCATTTATGAATTCACATGCAATCATAAAGGAAAAATCAGTTTTTGTAACATGCTTGAAAGAAGGAACTCAAATGAACGCTACAACCTTGTGAGACTTGAGCCTAAACGTTTATTTGGAGAGTTAATAATATGTGCATCATTGTTTTCTAAAGTCGTTGCATGATCTCATTATTCTTTGCTTGGTTGCTACTTAGAAGGTGTTTCATCATTTAGTTTCAAATGCTAGAACTCATGCCTATTTCATTCAAAGCATGCTATTGATTTGCATAACACATATTCAAGATGCAGTTGTGTAGTGACCACCAAAGCCAAATTGTCGTGCCCCTATTTCATTATGTGTTTAAGTTTAACCCCGTTGAGCCTTGTTAAGCCTATGTTCTTTGTTAACCCACACTATCCTTACCTAGTCTAGTGTTAGGACCATCCATACCCTTTTTCTTGAAGCATAGTAAAGCATGACTTAAAATGAACTCCTTTTTTATCAATGTATTGCAGAAAGCAAGTGTGGGGGAAGTGATTCTTGTGTGTGTGTGTATGCCAAAGTCCTTAATAAGGCATGGGTAGAAAAGGAAAAAAAAAAGAATTGAAAACAAAAAAGTATGAAAAAGAGCTCTAAAGTGTTGTTTGTTAAAGAAAGGGTTCAAAACATTGAATTTGGCCCTAAGTGTTGCATAAATCTTCCCTTTGTAATTAAAAGTTGATTCTGCATTCTAAAGTGATTTCCAAGTGTCTATTTCATTGCTTTGCTTGCTATCGCTTTAAAAACATTTGTTATCCCTATCCTTTCTTTGTTAGCCATTACCCCCAAGCCCTATTACAACCCTTGACTTCAATCTTGAGTGTTGTGTGTTTCAATTTGTGGAGTTCGAAATTGGTATGAGCATATGGTGTCACTGGTTCTCGCATCTAAGTAGTAGCATTCCATTCATGAGATCATATCTAAACATGCTTAATAACTCCAGAAAATTGCTTTCTTTGTTATAACATATGTGAGTCCAAATCTTTCGTGTTTACATCAATCTTCTCACATATACTAGTGTAGGGTGTGTAGTCAGAAAATGTGTGTGAAAATAGAGAGTATCTTGTAAGGAATTGAGCAAATTCTCTAAGGCATGTTACTACATTCAAAACATCGTTTTAATTGGTTAATTGTGAACTAGTAAGTGGTGACTGTGATTAAGTATGTGCTCAAGTGTAATGATGACCAAAATCTGTGGGAATGATGATTTTTAACACGTCATGTTTCATTAAAAATCCCTGAGGCAATTGTTGGAAGGTCTAGGTTGTGTTTTGTTTTGTTTTGTTTTGTTTCTTTTGTTTTGCTCGAGGACTAGCAAAAGCTAAGTGTGGGGGAATTTGATAGGAGCATATTTATACGACTTAGTTAGCTTGTTTCTTGGCATTTATGTTCTTAGTTCGTAGTTATTTTAGTATTTTAAGCTATTTTCGTGTGTTTGTAGGTCCAAAGGGTTAATGTGGCAAAAAAGTGCATTTTGGAGCATTTTTGGGCATGGAATGGATAACATATGCTTGGAGCAAAAGGAATTGACGAAATTTGAAGTTTGTGCATCATCCTCTCCCTAGAAATAACCATTTTAGCACACTCATTTCACCCAACACATTCACTCATTACAACCACCCAACACATTCACCTACCACTACATCCACTCATTTCACCCAACACATCCATTCACCTACCACTACATCCACTCATTTCACCCAACACATCCACTCATTACAACCACCCAACACATTCACCTACCACTACATCCACTCATTTCACCTAACACATCCACTCATTTCAACCACCCAACACATTCACCTACCACTACATCCACTCATTACCACCACCCACTACATCCTCTCCTTAGCCTATAAATATATCCATCCAAAGACACATTCAGGGGGACAATTTAGGGAGAAGGGAGGAAGACACATTTTGCCGCAAGGCATAGTCTTTTCTTCTTAACCATTCTACACATTCCCACAACAAAAACACAATTTCATGCACCTTCATTTCCCTTTCCTTGCCGTGACCTCCATCCAACCTAAACACATTCAGCATTCCTCCATACAAACAAACCTTCAAACACTCACCAACACCTTGTACCGTAGCAAAGGAAAGGAAGGAAAGTGCTTGGACGTGCTTGCTGTCCAACTTGGATCGTTGGAGCATTTAGGTGTTTTATTTCTTTTGTTTCTAATGTTTAAATTCATTTCCTTTCGTTTTGTTGTAAATATGAGTGGCTAAACCCCTCTTGGCTAGGGGTGATTTCAAAGCCATGATTATGTGTGTAATATGATTTGATAAATTCCAGCTATGAACTCTTGAATCATAAATGCAATTGGCTTAACTATTTGATTGATAACTTATTTGTATTTGTTAATTAAGGGTCGACACTTAATTGGCATGCATAAATCCGTTGCTAGAATATAAGGAAGTTTCACATAATCGTTACAAACTTATATTCACATGTAGTGAAGGTCGCTTATAAACGATCGCGTTAAGTTTAATTCTAGCATGAGTAACATGATGTCATAGTTGCAAGTGCTTTGTCAATGCTTATGATTGTTATTAAACGTAATGATCTTTGATTGTATCTCTATTATGATGTCATGTAGGGAACTTTAGAAGAATGTTTTGGGTTGTCGAATGATGTCATCCAATCCAATAAAACAAGGAAAATCTGAGAGTTAACTAGTGATGTCACGGTTAATTTGGAGCATTATCGTTCATAATTCAATGAAGTAGTAACTGGAAATCGAGTTATTTGCATACATGTCATGTGTGGAGAAAAAGCCTCTAGCTATCCCATCCATCATCTTATTTCTCAAATTTATTTTACAATCTGTCTAATTTTTCATACTTGTTTGTTTGTTTCAACTTCATCCAAATCAAAACCCCCCTTTTAGTTTCTTGTTTCAAAGTGTTTCAAATATGTTTTAGTTTGTGTTTTTAAGTGTTTTGATTCAAGTAAAAGTCAACTTTCGTCCAAAGTCATTCCTAGTGTTTAGTTTAAGTTTATTTAATTGTTTTAAGCTGTTTTGATTATTTTAAGTTTGCTTTGAGTCTGGTGAGTCTTGTTAAGTGTTTTTAAGTTTAGTTTTATGTTTTTGAGTCAGTTTAGAGGTTATTAGCAAGCCCTCCTAATCCCCGGTCCAGAAAGATCCCAAAAGAAGGTTAAATTTGTGTGTTAAGTTAATTTTCGTATCACCTACCCAAAAAATATGAGCATTGATTTGTCAGTGGCATTCACTGCTCTATTGCATTGTAGAAAAAATGAAATACGCATGTACAAATACCTTTATCATTATGATTCGAAAGAAAAATTAATGTTTTTCAACCGTCGTAACCGTTGATGCTTACCAACTAGTTAGCGTTTAAGTGATGCTGTTTAGGAATAATTATACTTCCATCATGCTAGATAGTTTTAATTCGATATAAAGTAACAAAGGGAATAAATGGGCGTGTGGTATATCACTTTCTTATATAAATGCAAAGGTGGATCGATCCATAAAAGAAGGGCAGTTAGCTTAGAGGTACTGGCTTTGCTTGACACATCCGTTTAAACTTTTATGCTTTTTGTCAGTTATGTGAAACGGACAGACAGAGACAAATGCTTTTAGCTTTCTTGCAAACCAAACAAGCGAACCTAATACTTTCGGTTGAGGTTTTGGTGGTGTCAAAATCATTCCAATTGCCATGCCCTATGCTCTCCTTAACTTTCCCTCACTCTCATATAACGAAAATTCTATGGTTCTTTGGAATGTAGGAATACATATAAACTAGAAAATCCCCTCACATGGCACACACAAGAAAAAAGAACAATGTCACCAAAAATTAATACACAAGTCAGTTAATTCCCTTAAAGAATTGATCAATTTCAACTAATTGATTAAATTTAGACATGTATAAAAGAATCAACAATGAATATTGAATGAGCAACAAATAATGTTAAACAATTAATTGGGTAGCATTGATATTGTGGGTTTCTAGCTAGTTGTGTTTTAGTATTGGCAACCCACCAAAGGAGAGGCAGAGAAGACGATGACTTGTTCCTTCTTGGCTCCAAAGGGAAACTTATTGGTTTCCTGCTGGTGCTCTTCTTCCGGCGCAGGAAGATTAAGATCCAACTGCAAAACATTTCGTGGTCTCTTTGATCCCGATTGCGACTGAGGATGACTATTCATGGCTTCTGCTGCTGCTGTTGTTGCTGCTGTGCTGCTTAATGTTCTATGCCTTCTCATATGACCCCCTAGAGCTTGACCAGATGCGAACTCCGCACCACACACCGAACACTCATGAACCTTATTGGCTTTGTTTTTGTAATAACAAGGACTAGTAGTATCACTGTTCAATGCCCTGAAAGCCCTATTCGAAATTTGTAATGACAACGTGGTGCTGGTGTTGTTAAACTGATCAAATTCCTCCACTTCTTCCAAGAATGACAACGCTTTCTTATTGTCTTGAATTGTGCTGTGAATGTTAGCCTGCTTACCCGGTTTCCTGTGACTGGCTCTATGTCCACCAAGCGCTTGAAACGACGGGAAGCACCGGTCACACGTCTTGCACTGATACAAATATAACCCGGCCGAAGCTGCTGCTGAAGCCGCCTTATTGTTGTTAACCAAATTAGGGTTTTGGGGTTTTGGGGTAGAATTGCCTTGCGCCAGAAGAATCAAACAGTTTGCCATGTCCTCCTCTTCCTCCGTACTGATCTCTGTGAATTGATCAGATGAGGTGGCTGGTGAGGCTGTGGGACCAACATCAGTACTAATCCTTTGTCTGGGACCCAAAAGGCCTTGGTCTTGAAGATGATCATGATCATGGCCTGCACTTGATGAGCTTGAAGCTGTTGTGGCTATGGCAGAAAGTGGGGAAGTCAAACGTTGCCGTTTTGTGCGTTTTCCCTTGATGATCATCATCTGAGCCTGATCCTTATAACCTAAAACAGCTTCCTCCTGATCTTGATGATCTGCAGCTTCCATCATCATCATCTCGATCCGTAGCAGCACAACACCAGCAACCCTACCAATAAAAACGTTTCGAAATTTGAAACCGGAGAGAGAAGAGAGAGAGAGAAAGATGGATGGAATTGAAGAACCAACGTTAAGAAAGTGGGGAGGGTGCAATTATAGTGGTGAGATAGAGCGAGTTTTAAGTAGTAGAGGAGTCTAAAAAAAAGCCGCCCAGGTGATGAATAGTATAGTAACCGTGAGTTTTTGTGCCAAGCTTGGCGTTTTTAATTTCCAACCTTGGAAGTTATATATAGAAATATATAAAAGAAGGAAGGCAAATATATAAATATATATGTGTGTGTGCGCGACTGAATATATCTATCTTTGAAGCATTTATACAAAAACAGTACAGGTGTGTATTGAGGGTGAGAGATTAGCTAGATGCAATGTAAGTGCGAGGAAGCGAGGCAACGAGTGAGATTCGGTTAGCTTTGAAGCAAACCCGTTACTTTTTGGCAACGATTCCTTTCTGGAGAGGAAGAAAATTGGTATGCAAGCCTGTGACTGCCACAGAATTTGTGCTTCTCCTCCCACCCCCTTTTCACTCCTTTTTGTTGCTTTCCTTGCTTGTGTGTGTCTGTTAATTTATCACCTGTTTGAACTATTTTTGGGTTTTTACAGTGTAGTTTAACTAATTCGACAACACTGATTCTCTGTACCATATTTATCAATTACATTGCTGACGGCATTAGAGGTGAGAGACGTAACCATCAACAATGCCGCATTACTTACTCTTAACTAATTAACTAATTTAATAAGTTATCACCCAAATGTTTGAAATTAATTTGTTGGTTGGAAATCTTTGTGACTTGTGAGGATGGGATTTTCTTAATTTTTAACTATTAATAGATTGGAAATTGATTACTGACTTAATTAATCAAACTAGTTTAAACAGTTCATGATGCAGTTGACCCACCCACTTGATCATATTATACAATAATCTCACTTTTGGATGGACAATAACCCAAAAATCACGCCGTCCCTATGCTATAATCCAATTATTCAATTGACATTTCATGCTGGCCTCCAATCATTAGGGCAGCTTCACCAAAAATAATTAGGGTAAAAAATAATTAACACTTTCTTAGTAGAACTAATTAGCTGCAGAATCACATAAATTACACCCAGGTTTCAATCCCTTAGGACAGTTAGAGTTACTACCACCGTCCACCCATGTTCTGACCTTCTTGTGCCGGACATGTCTCAGACGCTATACACACACACACACACACACACACATTGTATTACAAAGCAGCTAAAAAAATTAGAAACATCCAACTAACTAATGCTGCAAATTACTTATTTTTAAGATTTGGGAGAAAAATGTAAAAGTTATAGCTATCAGCTAATCTGGTTCATTGTCTAATTAGATAATTATCTTATAAGATGAGCTGCTAAATATTGATGACTTGTATATTATGGATTAATGCGACTTCAAAAAACAACGTGATGCATGCATATTCTATGTCCAAGGATTGCTTCGTAACAATAACAGCAAGATGCAATTACAACCAAAGCCAAATATTAGAGAGAATACTGAAATTAATTATATTTTGGAAAACGGAATGGGGGCAAGAAAAGTTTTAAGTTCCGATTATATCTATTAATTAACAATTAACACTTATCCGTTCCTTTTTTTGACAAACTATAACGCCTCTATCAAGTTAGTAAACGACATAATCTCGTCTTAATTTTTTTATACGGTACTTATTATGAAGTTTTGTAACATTTCACATCGTCTAGGGGAGTGGATCTTGTAAGCTTTATATGTATATTCTCATCTCTACCTAGCACGAGGCTTTTTGGGAGCTCACTAGCTTCAGGTTCCATCAAAACTCCGAAGTTAAGTGAGTTCGTGTGAGAGCAATCCCATGATGGGTGACCTATTGGGAAGTTGCTCGTGAGTTTCCAAAAACAAAACAGTGAGAGCGTGGTCGGGGCCCAAAGTGGACAATATCGTGTTACGGCAGAGTTGAGCCTGGAAAGTGGTCACGTCCGGGCCGGGATGTGACAATTTGGTATCAGAACCTATCCTTGGCCGAAAGTGTGCCGACAAGGACGTTGGACCCCTAAGGGAGGTGGATTGTAACATCCCACATCGCCCAGAGGAGTGGATCATGTAAGCCTTATATGTATATTCTCATCTCTACCTAGCACGAGGCATTTTGGGAGCTCACTGACTTCGGGTTCTATCGGAACTCCGAAGTTAAGCGAGTTCGTGCGAGAGTAAATCCCATGATAGGTGACCCACTGGGAAGTTGCTCGTGAGTTCCTAGAAACAAAACCATGAAGGCGTGGTCGGGGCCCAAAGCGGACAATATCGTGCTACGGTAGAGTCGAGCCCGGGAAGTGGTCCCGCCCGGGCCGGGATGTGACAAGTTTCCTATATATAACAACTAATTAAAAGTGAAATCATACAGTACATTATAATATGTATATACATTGAAAAGAAAGAGTATATATTTTGTGTCATCATATGGGCGATTACGTGTAACTTTGTTACTTGATTAAGCAAAGATATATACAAAAATAAATTAAAGAAATACTTTGGACGGTGACCAAAAATAGAGGTAGAGTAGTGTGGAGCAGAGGGCAGAGGGAGGAATGGGATTACAGGGAGAGATTCTTGGCGTAAGGAATTGTAGGTGGAAGAGGGGTTGTGAGGGGCACGTAAATGGCAAAGCCAGCATCAGCTGTAGTTAGTGCCACAAAGTAAAGCATCAAATTCATTTCTTTTTTATTATATTTTAGGGATTTTAGTTGGTGACAAAACATGGGGTTTGCTTCATTAATTCTCTTTTGCCCTACTCCTTCCTTGTATGAATATTGTGTTGAAAGTATCCCACATCGATCGTGTCTCTGAGAAGATTTAAATACCCTAACCTCAATTTAACTAATACCGAAGCCTTTTGTGAAAAAACTTCATACTTTACGAATTGTGCAGGTGGTAATTAACAGATTAGAAACAATACCAGTGTTGTTGAAAGTGGACCTTTGGCTCGTCTCTCTGATAATTTAACATATTGATCATATATAATCATACCCCTTATTAATTCTGTCTTTTGATCTTCTTCAATTCATTCAATCCAACGACCAGAAATTAAAAAGGTATGTAAGAAGTAAAAAGCAATATGTGAATAGCACACCCCACACCCCAATCATATATTATATACTACTACTTCTTATCCACTCCTTATCCTCAAAAGCTTTATATACATCTAAAATATTAGAGTACTGGCTTTCGAACTTGGATGATTGATATGTTCACTCCACTTCACATATGTAGGCATTGCTTTCACTTATTACATATATAATGTCATGTTCTTCCTCACAAGTCTTTTCTTTTCTTTTCTTTTTTTTATTAATTAATTAAAGAATGAAAATAATTAGTTAAGAGCTTCAATATGCCTTGACTTGTAACAATTATCTAGTGTCTATACATGTAGGTGACTTCTTGCCCAAAAGCTAGTGCTGTTTTTTTGTGTACATTAATTTAGTTAAGAAATTTATAGATAGGCACAATAACGTAGAGTCGATTAATTCAATAAGCCATAGTAAGCATCTTCTAATAGCTAAGAGAATGTTTAGAATAGTATCTGAAAGGCAAAAAATGCTTTCTGGTAATCAAATTTGTTTCTAATGGTATTCGTTGGAAAAAAGACTATAAGTGCTTTTGGGTCACATAAATACTTTCTAGAGAAACAGTTAAAAGTTTTTTTTTTTTAAGGAAGCACTAGGATTATTAAAAATTCAACGCATTTTTAATGAAAATTTATGCACAATCCTGTGTATTTGCCTCTTAATTTTTCTTTGATTACAATTCAAATGTCCGAAAAATAATAGAGGTGTACCGGAAGAAAAATAATGTGTAAAGATCACTCCCCAATAAAAAACTTAAAATGACAAAGTATTCCATTATCGATTCCAATATCTGCATGCAGCTTGAAATTTAGAGAGTGGTATTGCATGCGCTTGAAATTATATATGCATATCTGAAAGCCCTTCGAGCTACAAAATTAAGGTGTGAAAAGGAGGATTAGTATATTAGAATAGAAATCCAAGATAGCCTAAGAAGTAATCGTTTCCTTTCAATGCAGCTAGGCACCAGCTTCCGGAGAAGTATGCCTCACGTCTGTCCTCTTCACTAAGCCATAGGATGGGCTATATGGTCACATGAAGTCCGAATAAAGGCTCTTTTTTCTTCTTTCTATCAAGCTATAGGTAAAGTCTTATGTCTAGAGGAGTGCCCAAGAAATATTGTGGAAGTGATTTCTCAAACCCCTAATATCTTCGATATTAAGGTCTTCACCCCCCACGCAATAGGGTATTTTCTAAGAATGCAGTTGTGCCTAGTGGCCACTAGCTCCGAATGCAGCACAACTTCACTTACGCACAAATGCTGCTATAATTTTTAAGAAAGTGATTTTCACACCCTTTTAAACAAACAATATTATCTACGCTAAGGAGGTGGAGAAATGCATTGAGCCTCACACAATAGGCTAGCATCAATGTGATTCAAATTCGCCTTTGGCAAGAATCGAACCTAAGATCTCTCATTTACAAGTGAAAAAAAATACTACTAAACCGTAGTACTAAGTGACTACACATTCCCTTTTTTTTTTCTAGCCATTATATTAAATAAGTTAAACTGAATCATCAGCTAAAATTAAATAGATTCTGCAACTTCAATGGTACAAGGCCAAAGCCCAAAATAGAGGACCCAAACTTGTGCCCAATGCCAGCAAAAATAAATAAATAAACACTAAGGCTCAAAGCCCAAAATGCCTAATTGAAAACCTTAATACAAAAGCATGTGGGTAGAAAGAGAGACCATAACCGTGGATTAGAGATAGGAAGAATAGAGGTCATGTTTCTTTGCCTAATTTCATGGGATGATGTGAAATTCCTGGTTAATCGAAACAATGATCATGATTGATTTGATTTTAATTATCTCGATCCATCGCTCATCCAACTTTTAGCATCAATATTTAGTTACGTAGGGGAAAATCTATTTTAAAACACATATCTTATTATGTTTACAACACTCGTTACGAGCCATTGAGAAATTCCTTATTAATCGACACAATGATGATGATTGATTTGATTTTAATTATCTCAATCGCTCATCCAACTTTTAGCATCAATACTTAGTAAGAAAATCTATTTTAAAACAAATATATCTTATTGTGTCTACATCACTCGTCATATGAAAATTATATACCATTAATACATTTAGATTTTCTCCAATGACTAATATTACAATATTAGCCTCTCTTTTTTGGTCAGTGGCAATATTAGTCATTGGAGAACAAAATACTTTTGGCTT